ATGATCTGATTAGTCGACTAATCGCAAAAATAATCGGTGACTAGTCAACTATCAAAATAATCGTTTGTGGCAGCCCTATCTGAAATATTCAAATAGTCAAAAAATGTAGAAATCAGAAAAGGCAAAAACTTTATTACAAAACATAACATTGTAACAAAAGACATCAAACCTGTGAAATAATTTACTAAGGTCATAAATCAAGTGAGAAGTAGGTAAAGTTTTTTTTTTATAAACACTTATACAATTTGACTTTTTAAAAGCAGAGGAACTGCCCCTGATGGTCATTAGAAAGAATGCAGGTTTATGTGTCACTTCTCAGACCCAGCGGTCCATCATTCCATCTTTTATGTACAGGCTGTGGTATTTTCTTCTGAAGATGACAGAAGAGCTTTTGTCAAGCTGCATTTTTTTCTATTTTAGGACAAAAGTCCCTTCCCTTCTGTGTCCATCTGTAAGAAATGCATCACTCCCAAACCACCGAGGACACACCACTGCAGCATCTGCAACGTGTAAGTTCTTCACGTAGTTCCAATGTGGAGAGTTGGCGTGTTTTATATTTTTGTTTTCTTTTATCATATTAAAATGTTTGCTATATTGCAGGTGTGTTTTGAAGATGGACCACCACTGTCGTATCCTTTGAGCGAGGAAAAACTCATGAAAATGACTTTTATTCTGTTCACTTTTTGTTTTGGTGTCTCCTGGTGTTCCCGCTTGTTACACGTATTGAACTGAGCTCTTTCCAGCCTGGTTGAATAACTGCGTGGGCCATTTCAACCATCGCTACTTCTTCTCCTTCTGCATCTACATGACCATGGGCTGTATCTACTGCAGCATCAGCAGCAGGAACTTGTTTCTGGATGCCTACAACGCTGTAGAGGTAAGGCTCGATAAGGAAAGATTCAACCATCCATATGTTTGGGTGGCGTTTTCGTCATGGCAGCTGTATCTCATTGTTCCAGTTCAACTGAGATCCATTCTGACACTACATATTCCTTTAAGCAGGTTTTTCTAGGTATTATTAACACTACCCCTCTGCACAGTTTGAGTGAGGAGCTATGAGGAAATAATTTGCATCTGTCAGTAAAGCATGATTTGCAAAATTTGAGCTCATGTAACAAACAACAAAGGGAAACACCTTCTGCTTTCATTCTTACTCTGATTAAGGACCTCAAGGGTGCCAGCTGGTAAACAAAACTGTAGGCTTTGGATAGTAACGTTAAAGGAGCAGTTCAGCACAAAATAAAAACTTTGGACACTACTAACTGTCCTTCCTGTCCACCTCAGACCTACTATCAGACCCCTCCTCCGGACTACAGTTTCAGAGAAACCACTGCTCATAAGAGCATCATCTTCCTCTGGGTGCTGACCAGGTGTGAGACACTTTACCAAAAAGTCCATAATGCCACTTGTATAGTGCAAATTGTAATATGCCCCTTCTCCCTCTTTCCTGCAGCTCTGTGGCAGTCGCTCTGGGTGGACTCACCCTGTGGCACGCCATGCTTATCAGCAGAGGAGAAACCAGCGTAGAGCGGCACATCAACCGCAAAGAAGCCAGAAGATTAAAGGAGAAAGGAAAGGTACTCCTGTGCAGAGTCAGTTGCTATATATGAGCAAAAGTTTAGTCTTTTATTGGACAAACCAGTTAAAGTTCACCAGACATGAATCCTGCATAGGAACAAAATGCAAACTCATCGAGGGTCTCTGAAAATCCTGTTTTCTTCTTTTCCTCATCAGGTGTTCCGAAATCCATATCATCACGGTAAAATGAACAACTTGAAGCTACTGTTTGGTGTGCAGAAGAGGAGGTGAGCTCCGTCACTGCTTCAGCTTTTGGGCATTTTGATGAATATGTGCAAGTATTCCATCTAGAGAGAGGTTCTTATTAGTCATAGCTGGGATCATGTGCTCAATACAAACTATTATTCCACCTGTTTTTCTAACTGCATAAAGAAAAAGAATAGGAAAATATTTTTATATTAAATTGACACATTTGATGGTTTTCATGCAAAGCCAGCTGGCAGGTTTCTTTCAGTGTTGTGCTTACTGAAAAGCAGGGACACAAATTACCACTGTTGTATGTATGATTTTTGAAATTATCAGTTGGGTCCCCTTCAAAAGATCACAGCTTTGTCATCCTTCATTGTTTTCAGTCACATTTCATGCCATCTGTTCTTCTGTTCCTCAGTCACTGGCTCACACGGGTCCTCTTACCCTCCAGCCATCTTCCCTGCGGAGACGGCATCGTGTGGGACTGCACCTTCGCCAGGAGAGACCCCATGGCCATCTGACTTTCAGCCTTTTAATGTCGTACCATATAAAAAAAACTTCAAACCTGCATTTATAACCAGCAAAGAAGAAAAGACTGTGGTTACACAGATCAGCAGCCTTTTGCTGTGTCTGTATCAGCACTGATAAAAGTGGAGAAACACAGGAGTGTCTCAACTTCTTGGATCCAACTGTCACTTTTCCAGCATTGTACAGTGAGACTAAGCTGTGACTGCAGAGCTGTCGACTGATCTGATTCATGGATGCTGCTGGTCAGCATCTCAGTAACGCCTCGTTCACACAACTTTTATTGAAGAGGTGATGAAATGTTGTGGGATTCTGTTGCACAGTGTGGTTTGGCACCATCACAGGAGCCAAAGTTAAAGCTTGTTAATGGTGCTATGTGTTGCATACAGTACAGCACGTTAAAAAAAACTATTTTATCGTTATTAAGTGAAGACCTGAAAGTCATGTCGGCAGACTCTTTACAGCAGTCTTTTTCTCGGTTTATGCTGTAAAGCAGACCTGCACATTTCCCCTCAATCTGACTTTAGCTTGTAAAAGAGAGCGTGCCACCTTAATGTGCTTTTTATAAATTAGTGATAAAAGTGCAAAACACGGCACCATTAGCAGCTGAGACTGTATCAATCTCCAGCTCTGTTTAAGGATCGGCGTCTTCGAAATAACAGAAGATAGCTGTGGGAGGCAAATCGTGAAAACATTATTTAAGTGTTGTGTTAGTATTTAAATAATTGTTATTTGTAAATTGTTTTTAATACCGACTACTCTACATGCGTTTCAAAAACCATCCCCTGGCATTACTGGGAGCCACTGACCTGAACTCATTTCTTGGTGCCAAAGATGAGTGAAAAACCAACTACACAGCTCTTGATTTCAGAGAACCTTAAACACAGACGTGGTTGTGTGCCTTGTTCGGTTATTCAGCCTTGAAATGTGTGAATCAGACACTGAAATATTATTCTGTCATTTAATTTATTTTTTTCCTCCCCTAAAGCCACATTTTCATATCGGCAACCTCATGATGGTTTTGGAGGCTCTGCAGTTGCCATAGAAACAGACATCCAGCTGTGATAGTGTTGGAGCTGTGCTCTGATTTCATTTATCTCGCCGCCTTAAAATAAAACAAGGTTTTGATATTTCTGGGTTGACGCGTTTCCGTTTTTAGGTGACGATATTCAGACAGACACGAGTGAAATTTCAGTGTAAACAAAGGTTTAATGACATCTTAAGTTAGACATTTTAAATATTGTCTTGTTTTCTTGGCATAAGTTGATGTGAGGTCCAAAGTCAGCCAACATTTATGATTTAATATTAACAGAATACAAGGCAGATGTTGAACACGACGTTCACATAACTTAAAATCCAAACGAAAGTACATTAACCTAAACGGATATTTCATTCTGTAAAAAGTATCCTAAAATTTCAGTCAGCGGAAGCTTTCACACTCGATCCACGGACAGTTGGCACATTCATATTCTAGCAAGTCTCAACATCAGTTAGAGACGTTACTGCTCAGGTATACATTCACATGAGTGTAAAAAGGTCACTGATGTGTCTTCCACTGCTGTGGGTTGTTGGAAGAAAAGTGGTTCCAAGACTGGAGTAGGTGCCTGCTTTGTCTGCAGTGTGAAATTGCTGGGACACAGTGTGTTAACCACTGTTAAGTATCCAAGTTTCTGCTACGTTACAGTTCTCAAATCTGCTGAAATAATGGCTGCTACTTAAAAGGCATAGAGGCAGATCTAGCTTCACACCGACGCCTTGTCAGCGTCACTCACTCTGCTTTTATATGCAGTGGGAGAAAAATTGCTTCTTTTTATACAGGAGCTGAAAAATCCAATTACCTGGCACTACCTCATTATGGTGCCTACTGACAGATGTTCATGATCTCACGACAGTAACACTAGATTTGAGACATTCTGAAAAAACACAAATGATTACATGATCTTTGTAAGTGGTTGTTGTTATTTTGTTAGCTGAAAGAGGATTATCTGACCAAACAAGTGTCCCTTCATTATGATTGTGACCTTAATGCATATGATTTTACCAGCTGTAAAACCTAAAATATAAATACGCCTAAAATCTCATTATGAAATTTTTGTACCTTCAGCAGTGAAATATTTCCCAATCAAAATGACGTCATCTCATTTCATGTGACTGTTTGGGCTAACAGGACAACAATATTTATGAGGCGTGCTGCATAATAACAAAACACTCATTTCATTCTTTTGACTTAAGCTCTGCCATCAGATTTATGTGCATTAGTCTATACAGTCTTACTTGTGCGCTTGTGAAAATACAGACAGTTAAAACATTTCAGTATAAAGGGGAAGAGTAGGAGGGGCAGAAGGAAGCTGGGAGATCCTCGAGGGTGGAGGCTGCTGGAGAGCTTACCCGCAGAGGGTGAGCCGTTGAATGGGCAGCACAGCTCTGCTACTTGGCATCTGTAATTTGGTGTTGATTAGGGGGAAATCATCTTCCACCAGGACTTCCTAAGAGGAACCTACAGGGAGAATTGGAGAAATAGCCATAAACACATGCTTTACTAAATGCTATGGCACCTGTTTACATGCTAGCAAGATTCACAGGACCAGAAAAAGAGTTAGAGTAACATCAGTATAATCACAAGCTGACATATGTCCTCTAGATAAATCACTTGTTTTTGGATTTTTTTAGATGAGTCCATCTTTAACCTCCTAAGACCTGAACTCTTCCACTGCATGCATTTTTAATTTCTCTTTGATATTTGGGCTGATTGGGGCCCGATGAATGTAAAAAGAAAGAATTACCTGTTTTTTTTTTTCCACCTTATTTTTGTTTTTAAGAAAAATAAGAGGTCGATATTAGTTTAAAATTTTGATAGAACAGTGTCAGTATAATGTCCTCGTAAGTGGATATCAGGCCCTTGTAGAGCAAAATTGAGTATTTTGGTCTAAATAACCCAAAATGTGATGTCCACATATGTGGACGCCAGGTCCTAGGAGGTTAATAGGAAAAGGTCGTTCTTACCACTGTGCTCTGGCCTGAACCGCCTCCCTCCTCACCAGCCTCTTCTTGTCATCCAGAGGTTTGGCGAGCGCTCGAAGTACTCGGGCCCGAAATGGCAACACCTTAAATCACACACAGGAGGAAAAAAATCGCTAAAGCAATTAATATGTTAACATTACACTTTTTATACAAGTTTCCTGTTGAAAAAATGTTGGGAAAAGTGACGATTACAATCACGGACTCTTCTTCTAAGGCCTTAAAAGGGCAGTTCACCACAAAATCCTGTTGTGCTCATGAGTGGGTGACAGGATCTAAATATTAATGGTGCTCATCTCGGCTGAGCTGTAATGTTTCTCATTGGTTTAAGTACACAGTAGACAGAAAACAGGTCCCACATGAAGTTGCTCACAAAAAAACTCATGATTTCTAGAGAGAAACATCACTGCTGAGCTTCTCAAATACATTTAACGGTACTTTTGGCAACCAAGCACAAATGCCATTAATAAACAGCACTATGTCCAACTGTTCCCCACTTATGAGGATCAATAGTGTCACATGATGACAAATTTGAGCTTGTAATTCTCTGACTCAAACATTGTGGTGAAATCCAACAATCATAAAGACTCCTTTAGTAATTAGCTTCAATATAACTGACTGCATTTAGTCAGATTGGTCAATTCAGTCTGATTGCTAAATGTTTCCATGTTCAGGAACCGTAGTTTATGTTTGTGAGTCCTTATTCAGCTTTTGTAAAAACAAAAACACATTTCAATAAACTGGTTGAATTTAAAGTTTTTCAAACAGTTAAAGATAAAACACACAAATTAGGAATTTAAAAAAATCTTATGAAGGTTGAAACCAAAGTATTCAAAGATGGTACGTTTTACCTCATGTACAGGGAAGTAGGAAAGAGCGCTGATGCAGGACAGCGAAGCAATCCGTACACTCTGCAGTGTAAAGGAAAAAACACTGTCATCATTTAATGAACTTATACAGTCCAATAATGAAGGTAGGCTTTTATAGAGCACTTACAGCATTAAATACTAAAACAAAACAACAGTTTATAATCTTGAGGAGACTGAATAGTTACAGTGGTGATCTAACTAACCATAGCTGGACTGCAGAGGAGGGCCAGCAGCCTGTTGACCAAAGCTTCCAGCTGCTGTATGAGAACTTGTGGTGGGTTGACGAGGACGGGCTCCAGACAGGACAGAGTTGTCAGATGAATGTCCTGATCAGGACACGACAAGGCCTCCAGCAGCAGAGAAAGAAGCTGCACAGGAACAGGACTTTGATGATTACAGGCACCTACCAGCTCGAGTCATTTCTTACGAGCATCAGAGCTGCTCTGTGTTACTCACCGCTGGAAGTTCAGTGACTTGAACCTGCTTGGGCAGCTTATTGACGATGTTAGATAAAGCTTTCAGGTAGTTGGGCTTCTTCTCTGGTGGAAACAAACAATACACAAATAAACCAAAAACATTACATTCTGAATCTTGTATATACACTGATCAAACAGGGTTTAAAGCATGGAAATCTTTGTCTTCATCAGTTTTTTTGGTGATAAATTCCAGCAACGATCAATTAACTTTTCAATATATACAGTGGTGTAAAAAAAGTGTTTGCCTGATTTTTTTTAAATGTTTGTAACACTTAAATGTTTCAGATAATCACATATAACACAAGTAAACACAAAATGCAGTTTTTAAGTGAAGGAAGTGAAGAAAAATATCAAAACCTTATTGGCCCTGTTAGAAAAAGTGATTGAGCCCCTAACCTAATAACTGGTTGGGCAAACCTTAGTGGCAACAACTGTAATTAAGCATTTGCGATAACTGCCACTGCGGAGGATTTTTGACTCACTCATCTTTGCAGAATAGTTGTAATTGCTGTGAATTGCCCTTTGTTTTTCATGAGGCATTCGGAGGTGGACTTTCTGGTGTGTTTTGCTGCAGAATAGACAGACACTTTCCCAAAAAGTTCCACTTTTGTCTCATCAGTCCAAAGAACGTTTTTTTTCCAGAAGACCTGGGAATCATCAAGATGTTTAATGGTGAATGTGTGACTGGCCTTTATCCTCCTTTTGTCAGCAGTGCTTTCAGCAGTGTGTTTAGTAAAACTGAACTCATCTTTCCACAAAATGTGGTTAATCACAGTTAATTCATAGTTTAACAGGAGGGGCAATTACTTTTTCGGACAGGACCAGGAGAGTTTGGACGTTTCTCTCTTAATCAATGAAATTATCATCTAAAAACTGCACTTTGTATTTACTCTGGGTATCTTTGTCTGATATTAACATTTGTCTGATGATCTGAAAAATGTAAGCGTGACAAATATGCAAAACACTAGAAAAATCAGGAACTTTTTTATTAATTTTTTTTTACACCACTGTAATATAATGTCTGGACTAAACAGCTCACATGTGTAGTTTTATATGTTTCTGCTAATGGTGAAACATATTTTACACATTTATTTTCAGTCATCTTGTACATCTGAGCACTGCTACTGCACTGTAATTAGTAGGTTTAGTGAATAACACTTCTAAACCTGAACATCATGTATTGGCTAAGACTTACTATTTTCCCTTTAAGTCTCATCCATCCAAAGAAACTATTGGTGCAATATTTGCAGCACTCAAGAATAAAAAGCGGTTTCTGTTTTTGCTTCTAAACATTAACGGCAGTGATGGGAATAACGGCGTTACAAGTAACGGCGTTACTAACTAATCTAATTACTATTTCTATCGTTACAACGCAGTTACCGTTACTAACAAGAAAATGCGGTCGCGTTACTATTTTTCAACAAACAGACGGCTGAAGCTTTATATCAGTTGCACGGAAGTAGCTGTAAGTAATCTGGGTGCTACAGCTTTAAGTAGCTGCACGCGCTCCCGCGGACGGTAATCACTTTCTGGCAGACGATCACTTTTTGGCAAAACACCTGGAGCTAGGGGGGGTAAAACAATCGTATGAGTGCTGCTGTTTGACTGCGACTGGCTTACAATGACTACTTTAAGAAAGCAACAATATGATCTATACCAGTTTTTAAATTGTGTTGATAGGCCTCGTAAAACCAGAGTCATGATAAACAATATATACGCGGCGTTTTTTCCTGAGTAGTTTCGTCACGTTTACTTTCTAATGACAGCGCTAGCAAGCACTCTCTGCTTATTGAATGCAGAACAGCTGATTGTTATGTAAATAGTTTGAAATGGTTATACAAACGGTAAAAGGTAAACAGCTGCAAGTAACTTTGTTGTTTGCAAAACTTGTGCATATGATTTTGAAATTGACGATTTAAATTTGCATTTAAAGTTATGAAATATGATTAAATAAACATGTTTGTGGTTGTTACAGTAAATATAACTTTTTCTACGCTGATTTTATGTTTTTTTCCTGATTTTAGATCAATTGTGTTAATACAGTATGTCAAAATGAAAACATGACTGTAAATTCAGACACATGAGGTTGTGCTGAAAAGGATGATACCAAACAAGGCAAAGTAAATAGTTTTTAAAGGTGAAATGTAGAGGAAACATCAACAGTAGTTAAAAATGGCCAATTATACCCTGGACCCCAGAGGGTTCAACATTTTTTTTAAGTAACGCAATAGTTACTTTTCAAGTAATTAATTACTTTTAGAATCTTGTAACTCAGTTACTAACTCTAGTAAGTATGAAGTAACTAGTAACTATAATTAATTACTTTTTCAAAGTAACTTGCCCAACACTGATTAACGGGGACCCATCGCCAATAATGTTTGTGTAGGTTCGACTGTCCTGGTGCCTCTACCTTGGGGTGCAGCGTTGAACCCTTGCACCAGCTTGGCTTTGTTCTCGCTGAAGAAGCGCTGGCGGTACATGATGCGTACATCAGCGTGGGAAGCTCTGTTCAGGACGTCGGTGGAGTCACTCATGAGCAGAGAGAAGCCGTCTGCTGCCATCGGACCTAAACCGGCATCGTCGAGCAGAGAGAAGAGCTGCGAGGTACACAGAAAAGAGAGTAACACCAAATGTGTTTTCCACTAAAAACACAGTAAGAGTGAAAGCTCCACTGTGTGCTGCTCACAGTTTTGTACCTTGTCGGTCAGTGTTGTGAACAGAGGGTGGTATCGCAGAAGCAGAGCCTTGGAAACCTGCGGACAAGCACAACCTTACTATCATTCTGAAAAGGATTTGTAAGGCGAGTGGTGAAACAAGTAAAAGCTCTTAATGTGCTGATGTTTAGGAGTGAGCAGTACAGACAGTCACTCTTACCCAGATCATAAGTGTAAATGCCTGAGTGTGAACAGAGGAGGAAGGTGAGTCCAGCTCGCTGCACACTCTCTTCATCGTCCTCTGAATTAGGCTGTCGAGGGAATCTCCTGAAGAAGAAACAGAAAATGTTTTAATAAATGATCTAAAGCTTTTAGATTTAATAAAAGCCGAGCTGTGACAGGACACAAACTGACCCTGTGGTTTCTTGTTGACCAGGCCAGCAAAGCACTTTGCAGCTGACGTGTATGACAGCGGGTGGCTGCAAGTGCAGCTCATCTCCTCCAGTGCCGACAGCAGTTTGTCAATCTGGGGCACCTCCACCTGCAGACGATACTTAACACTGTCAAAACAAAC